GCTCGCCTTCATACCATGAGTTTGCTGGTTTGAATCCCACCTTGCTAACAATTTTCATTTATATATTCTTTCCTTCCCCTATTTTGCGTGGCAAGCAGATGTTCGACCACACGAGCATGCGTCTGCTTGGTAACACAGTGAAAATAACTTCCTCTGTTTGGGAATGCAGTGAAAGTAACTTTCATGTTTTACATACACACCTGTCCTGTATGCGTGCTCTCCAATACAACATAAAATACTGCAGTAATAATGCTTGGTAAAAGCACCCATTCTCAGCGGGCGTCAGAACACGGGATTATCATAATCACTTCGTGGTTTAAAGCCAGGCACCCACTACAAAAGGCACTCACGCTACTGCGCCTGTTCCTTTTTAAGGCCACGTAGTGGGTGCATAGCAAGCTTGAAAAGGTTTCATGCATTAAATGTTTTAAGGATACGCACTAGGACCAGGACATCGCTATTGCCTTCAACTCAAAGGCGAAGCTCGAGCGTTCCCTATTTTTTTTTCTTTTTTTTTCCACGGCAAGTCATGAATTCCCATAGCTAAATACAGGCACGTTGACTCCCAAATTACTGAGAAGGGACATAGGTAGAAGTTCAGCTAATTAATTTCAGGGTAAGGCCAAGCGAAATGCTGAAGAAATCAGTGAAAGGTATTGCGAATAAATGAAATATGAGGATTTGTGTGTACAAGTAGGTAAATGATGGTACTATAGCACTTACATTCGGAAGAAGAACTTTATTCACATAAGATGAGCATACGCTTATCGGAATTACGCTTATAATCAGAACTTTGTATCGCTTTGGGGCAAGAAGGAGAAATAGATAGAGAGAGAGAGAGAAAAGCAAGAGAGCAAATGAGAGCAAAAGCATATAGGTTAGGCAGGTCTGCACTTCGCTTTGCTACTCTGCAATTGTGGTTTGGGTAGAGGCTGGAAAGACTAGGAGAAATTAAAAAAAAGTGTTCCCACTCACTGTATTCAGTTCATCCCCACTTGAAGGCCTAGGAGAACGCACTGGCGATATTATAGGAGTTCAAGTTGACAACGTTAGGGAACTGGTTTCCGTAACGATGATGTCCAAAAGGGCAGTACTTCTTTGCAGACTGGTTGGTTCATATTTGGAAACTATACTGCGGTTTTTCCCTGTCTCCCCGCTCTTTCTTCCCTCTACTTGCGCAGCAAGTCAAGTTATTTAAAGGAGACAGCTGTCGGTACTCTCGAGCAGTGCTGATCGCCGATTTCTCTTTGTGCGCCATAGCGACGACACTTGCTTGGAAGGTGAGTAATCATCAATTTTCTTCCATACCATGACAGTCTGGCTTGTGGCGCTTCCCATGACATTGAAACAGGCGTTGCTTAGTATAGGCTATTTCAAGGCACAGACGACAGATGAGGCAAGTCGTGGCAGGCAGCGAGAAAGCCACAGTCTTCATATGGGGAGCCGTGAATGTACTGATTTCAAAGACTCGAAGGTCGAATTTCATTGCTCCAAGGTAAGCTTCCGTGCACACGTGCGAAGATTTCGCGCTGCACCCTGACTTTGACACTAGAGTAGCAACGCATTTCGCACGGTCACGTGCAGAAGAAGCAGATGCATCTGTTTGCTCGTTCCAGATGATACCAGAACAATTAGGCCCCCATTGATTTAAAGACAGCGTCGTCCGCTTTCTCATCTTCTTACTGGCAAGTTTCCTTGGTGTCTGCTACACGTTGGTTTCGAGGTCTACGGTGCAGCGCAGAAAGATGAATTCTGGGAGGCTGACCTGGGATTGAAGATTGCTGACGAACTCTGGACTGTTTCTTCATTGACTAATGGAAATTCTGCATGGAAGTTTGCATGTCCGACCAGCGTTGCTGCTGTTAGGTATCGCAAATAGAATTTATTTCAATATATACAGCTGAGGTAAGCGCTGCTCAATATTTTTCAGCGTCAATTGGCAGATTAGCTTTGAAGGCAGATGGTGAAATTGTAAATGAGTTAGCGCAGTGTAGTAGTGGGCTCGGCTCCTTTCTGTTAAGAGATGTGCAGAGAAAAGTTAGTTTTGCAAATAGACTTAGAAATTCAGATGAAGAGAAATGTATGCATGATTTGCCAAATATGTCTGCCAAAAAAAGCGGCCACAGTGAATGAAGGAAGAGGTGAAGAAGCTTGGCAACAAGGTGCCGTGAAATTCAAAGTATAAAAAATTGCATGGTGACTGAAATGCGAATAAGAGACACGGGTACAGAAAAATGTCTACTATATACGGAAACAAGAACTTAATTAAGGGTCACAAACGTGGCAAAAAAAACAAATCAAAAAGAAGAACCTTCTCAATGACAACATTGTCGTGTTCTGGTATTCGAGCATCGACATGACTTTATGGGGATAAAAGCATACCTGAGTGAATATGCTTAACAGCATTAGGCTGTCCCAACAAAATCACCAATATACTCAGCACATTGTGATATTAAACCAGAGTGTACAGTTGTCAAGACCCCTAAAAGGCATCAACCTTTTTCAGGTGCTCGGATTCAGTGATCTGAAGTGATAATAGAAAAGAGCAGAAATATTGATGAAACGGGAGCATTACAGAGTATAATATGATATATTGTAGAAATAGAAGCTTTATAAGGCTTTAGTTTATCAGAAAGAAATAGTCAAAATGCTGGGCTGCAACAAATGCTATAAAAAGAATGTCGATAAGGATTGTTAACTTTGTGACTGATTTCTGCTCAGAGAATCTTATTCCATTTCGCTGGCTTTGTCATCAACAAACAAACATGCCTGGGCGGCTATATTTCTCTCTGCTTGACGTCATTGAAGTAGCGGAAAATGAATCAAGTTGAGCATATACAACTAAAGTAAGACACTGCAGTGTTTGTTAATCAGGATCAAAGTTATGTAACTGCCACGCAATTATTATCTTTGAAGTTGGAATTATCATGTTTGAAGTTGCTCTTAGAACCCACGTGGTTTTACAGGCTGCACAATAAGGAATACTTGACTATTATGGAAATGTCAGCGCAACACACATTCCTTCATTATGTAATCTTGAGATTCAGATTGCGGCTCCTCTTTGCGCACTGTAACTTCTAATGTTATCATAATTAGCGGGCTTGAGCAAAATACTCTTTGTACATTCATTCGTTCTGATGAAGTTAAAAACGTAAAGAAATGTAACAAAACCTTCGACATGACTTCAAATTCCACAAGCGAAAACGGAATCTGTGTCATGAAGCGAAAGCGTAATTGCGACATCTAAGAAGTTTGCTGGAAGTTAAGAAGAAAATGATGAGTATTCTTGAATGACTTCTATAGAAACACTGATGTTTTTTTTTGTAATTTTCTTAAGACAAACTCTAACGCCCTTTTTTAAGCTAGTGTTTTTTTTTACTTTCTAATAAACCTATACACCAGCGCCAGACTCGATCAACCAATCCGAGAAATTTCTTCACAGCTTCTTTTTATCATTCATGTATACGATAGTGACCTGCAATTGCAGACTCGTTATCTAAAATTGTAAATAGTGAAGAGTGATCCGGAGTATCCAGCTTTCAATCGTTGATAACTTAAATTTAATGATTCGCAGCTTTATACTTGACATTTTATCACAAGTAGAGCCAGGTGAGCCCTTTAAAGCTACAACAACGACGTACCACTTGCAGTAAGAATGGTGGTTAAAAGTAAACTCTGTGATATATACAGTAGAAGATATATAAAGATGATGTCTAGAGGCGCAAACACTTTTTAAGAGTAACAATGTATTACGTGTTTGCAGCCTAGAGCTGGGCGGTCGTGAAACTATGTTGTTGTTTTTTTTCGTGTGTGGTGGGTCTATCAGTATGCTGTGTTTGTTACATTTCACGTTCAGCATGAAAAGTTTACAGGCCACGGTGCCTCGATACTACATACAGCCCGCGAATCAGCGCATTATACATTGTACAAGCTGGGAACACAAACACCCATCCCAGGCGGCTGAAGTGCCCTCGCTTTCCTTATTGTCATATTATGTGCATTGAAAAAAGAAAGGGGCGTTTTCTGCCGACAATTTCTCGTGGACACCACGCTAATACGTCTACAGCCATCCACAGCAAGTTAAAAGGACACCAAAGAGGAACAATGACTTGGTTTAGATTAAACAACTGCACACTGAATACTGTTACGCCATATGTTTCACTATCATAATGCTTCAAAATACGAGCGCGATATGTAGACAAAGACAGGAAAGACAAGAACAAGCGCTTACCACCAACTGAAAGTTTAATGGCAGAAACAACCCTTGGCATTCGCACCTCCCTTTTTTTTTTCATAAATAAAATGTTGCATCATTTCGTAAGCACATACATGGTGAGACCAAATAGCAACTCAACATAACAAAATCGATAAAATATCTATGTAATATCGGTTTCGTTCTTTTGTTTTGCAGTTTGACCTCATCGTATGTGCTTAAGAAATGTTTAATTTGTCAGTATATACTTCAGAGCTCTCCGATTAAACTTTCGGCTTGTAGCAAACCCTTGGCCGTGTGTTTTTTGTCTCTATCTACGTATCGCGCTCGTATTTCAAACGTTAGGAATCACCAACTCACTCAATCAGCCATTTTGACAAGTCATTATCATAAGTCGATTAATAAAGAGAGAAAATCGAGGTTTAAGTCTCAGTTTTAAATTTCGTGCGGAAATCTGTGTGCGTCAGGTCAAACATTTAAAAATGCATTTCCCGTATTTTGGTGACATGGGCTGCATGAAATTTTCCGAAATTTCGTACGCTAGGTTTGTGACACCCACGAATGGCATTGCAGTTCATTTTTATCGATTAGTCACTACGCAGAGCCCAGTGAACGTGTTCGGAATAGGCGGTGTGCGGTGCGGGAATCTCCAGGTGGCGTCTCGTCCCGCGCTTTCTTTTTCGGCGCATTTTCTCGCTTTACCAAACGTCACATCGCGGCAAACGTGGTATTTTCGGGTTTGTGGAATTGTACTCGTCTAATACGCAAAAAACTGTTTCGGTCTTTAGTGTCCCTTCAACGTCATACTAACTGCAAATAGCGAACCCGCGCAGGGTTCTGACTGCAATATCACTGAACAGTTTGAACGCAATACTCCAGTCTGTCACCCATCCCAGCGGCTTCGCGCTATAGATACAATCGACGATGTTCAAGTTTTAAGGCACGGCGGCGGCGAATGACTTGAGTAGCAGGATGAAGCTCTTGGGTGCGTCCTCTTTCGAGTCGGGCGCCGGCAGCTTGTCGAGGGCGTCGCATTCGGCGGAGCCGCTCTCGTATCGGCCGCAGAAGACCTTGACCAGGTTGTGCAGGACGTACTCGGCCGTCTCGCGGACGTACTGGATCGCCTTGGGGTCGTTGCAGTTCTCCCTCAGGCTGGCCTGCTTACAGCTGTACATCTTGCTGTACTCGCTGCATAGGTAAAAATAGAACTAAAAGAAATGTTGTGCACTGGCAATAAGTGCGTAGCTTGGGGTGAAGTTTCTTTATGTTGAATTGTTTATGCATGTTCGTCGATCATGTTGCATCTGAGAAATAGTAAGTTGATTCTGTCCTATTGTTCTACGCCTTTAATACTTGCTAAACATGGCATTGTTAGGTCTTTGTTCAGGAATTATTTAGAAAACTTCGACGAGCAAAAATTGAGTTACAGGTCTCAGGAGCAGTATTTTTTACTAAGTTTATTTGCCATCTTTCTTTAAATACAGATGGAGGGATTGTAGAAAAGGAGCTGTCCCTGGTTAGCTTGACTAGCCTAGAACCCTTTATATTTGTCAGTGAGGCAATGTTATATACACACACAGGTATATACTCCTGAACGTTTACATAGATATACAAACACAAAGTCACTCACACACATGCATATATACATACAGAGGCATAACAATGCCTCAACATATTTCAACACACACTTCCATCCGAAGAGGTTTAATAGATAATATCATCTGGAGTTTGACATCCGCAAACCGTGATTTGGTTATGAAAGACGCCGTAGTGGAAGGTCCTGAAATTTCAACCATCTGGTGTTGTTTAACGTGCCCTGACATCGTACAGTATGCGGGCCTCTTACCATTTTATTTCCACCGAAATGTGACCACACTGATAGGAATCGAACCCGCGACCTCAGGATAAACAAGCTTACTTCGGCTGGTTATCCTAAGATTGTGCAAATTCCTGTGGACGGAGGTAAACGATAAACGATGACAGCGATAAACGCTAACGTATTCCAACCAGCTAGGGAAAGGCAACAACCGCTGTAATTCCGCATACGCATGCTATCGCAGCCATTTCAATAAAGCAGCAAAGTGGTGAACGTAAATTTAGTTTTTTTTTCTGCCCCAGAAAAAGTGAGCATGTTGTTCAAAAAGTACGTCCTTGTATCTAGGTCAAAAGGGGGCATCAACAGTAGGCACACGTTTAGAGATTGTGCTTGCAATGTGGCATGCCAGTTACTCTTTACTCTGGGAAAAGAGGTCACTGCGTATGCGATGAAAGAGCATTTGTAAAACTTTGAGCGTTCAAATCAATGCTGGTGGTCTGCTCATTGCAGCACTTGTTCTGAACCAATTGTTTTCAGGCTGCAGCATCATCGCGACGGGCCGATATCGAACTGCAAACGAAGTAATCCAAGCAGGAAATTGTTTTCCTTTGAATGCAGATCTGTTACCGATAGAAAGAAGTACTTAGGGTTAGTCACGTGTTGAATACGTGAACATCCCTACGTATTTCTGATAAAACGCGAATTGAGAATGAGTGTCGTGAGTGTGTAGAACTTAATAAGCATAACGTCAAGCGTTTTAAAGGAAATAAACAGTCAAAAGCTATGGCTGTGTCTTATCTCTTCTGTCCCCTGTTGGTGGTTGTGCTGCAAAAAAAAAAATTGATTGCGCTGATACTTTCGTGACTCCAACATGCTGCTCCGTCTGCCACATGCACTTTCGCATTGCGAAACAATTTTATTGGACAGTACGTGGTTACTGCTTGCAGACACAAATACCTCGTTGCGGAACTTTGTGGCTGCTATCAGCCAATTAAACGCCTTCCTTGCATTTGTACATCATTAGCACGTGAGAGTGTTCAGGGCGAGCCAGCTGCTTGGTAAGCAGCAGTTCTTGGAAACGGAAATGCTGCGAAATGCTGTAGAGGAACCCTACCACACTCCATCATGGTGAATGGATTTTATGACGAATAATTATTGGGGCATAACGTCCCAAAACATCCATGCGATTATGAGAGACGCCACAAAGGGGGACTCCAGAAATTTTGACCACCTGGGGTTCTTTCACGTGCCCATAAATCTAAGTACATGGGCCTGAACTATTTTCGCCTCAACCGAAAATTCCGCTGCCGCGGTCGGTATTTGTATTATTTATTTATGTATAATGCATTCACTTTTTAAATTTTTAAATCATCCTGAGAAGTGTCACTTTTTAGGATGATTAACTAAAGTTCTTCGCACCGTGCAGTCTGATTAAACATTGTACAATAAAGACTTCATAACTGCAACATTGTATTTAAGACTGTAATTATCAGAAACGACCAAACAAACGACTATAAGTGGTGCATAAAATATAAACACATTATGCATGAATTCATAAGACATATCTAATGAATGCATTGTATATACAAATGTACATGTGATAAAGGGTGATCTCAAAGAAAGTGTCCAATTAGTTGGAGATGTACTTTCTCACTGCAAGTAAACCCTCCTTTGTGAGCGTATCCAGAATAACTACTTCCATGCGCCGCTGAAGGAAATTCGTTACACCAGACAGTTGTACTCACCTGAAGTGTTGCTACTAGTCTGCGATAATAATTTTCTTTGTCTTATCTTATTCATTTTTATGGTTGGCTCTCAAAACTGCTATTTCGTATCTTCCGTAGTTGACAGGGGCCTAGCGAGAACTTTTTTTTGGGGGGGGGAAGGGGGGTGATGTTCAATAATGTTTTATGTAAGTTCATGCTTTACATGTATATATTCGCTAACCAAGAAAAAAAACCAAGAGAAAACGATCTGTATACGCTACAGAAGAGTCAGTCAGGGAGGACAATGGGGTACACGAAAGGCAGAGGCTCCAGAACTCGTAGGCCGCCTTCCCCTGTAGTTCTGTGGCAACACAACCTGGAAACGTTTGATCCCCCCCCCCCCACACACACACGCAAATTATAAAATTTCGGTGGAGGTGGGGGGGGGGATAAACGTTGCACCCCGCCTGGATATGCCCATGTTAGGTGAGGTGGTTAAGATTGCCACATTTTCATTTCTCGGAAGAGTAAGCTGCAATCTTCTCGTGTTTAACGTACCAGCACGCGTAGCGTATCTTCTCCTTGGGCGGCGCCTTGAGCGCCACCCTGGTACAGATCCTCCCTGAAGTTCTGCACGCACTTGTGGATCCGGTCGCCCGCCTTGTTGAGGCAGGGGGCGCTCTTCAGGTAGCCTGCGCGCATTAACAGGGCAATTAGAGAAGGAACTCCGTGGGTGTGATTAGAGGTAATGCATGTCGTGAAGTGTATACGCTTCACGATGTTGTATGGGAAGTCGTGCGTCATCTGCACGTATTTGCGTGCTTCCTCGGATATTGTGTTTTTCTTCTCCAACCTAATTGCTTACGCAGTAAAACAACAATTTCCAAACACGAACACACAGGAAACTTTGTACGTACTTACAAAGAACTTTCTTTCAACACCAGAGGGACTAGTTGAACGAGGTCCTGAACAAGGTCCTGAACTAGTTGAACGAGGTCCAATTGTTTGTGTAGTGGAACAATAATTTCCAAACACGAACACAAAGGCAGCTATGTACGTTCTACACTAAGCGATCTAGAGCACCAGGACTAAATTAAAAGCGTGACTGACTGAACTTGGTTTGTTCTTATAACCCATTGACATGTGATTACTATTAAGCGGGCGGTGTGCGTACACGCGAATGACTAAAATCCTACTCTATATATCATTTTAACTGGCTGTTTCTTCTCTTTTTCTCTTTTTTTCGTTAACGGAAAAGGGACGGTATGTATAGCGATTAAAGTATCCAAGGCTTTGACTTCAGGCTTGAATCCATCAAAATTTCCTCGTGGTTCTCTTGAATTCATTTCTATCAGTGCCTAGGCCACGACACCGCAAGCTCTCTTTTCGAGTAGTTGTCGCTTTTGCAATCTTCAATAGATTATCCGCGAGACAACAGAATGATGATTCATATTTTCGTGAAGATCGGGTTCATGGAGATCTGCCGATTTTCTTCGTGCGCAAATACTTACTTTACGGACTCACATAACTGATCGTGCTGTTTTTTTTTTTTTTTTGGGGGGGGGGGGCGAGTTTGAAATTTATACTTGGAAAGGGAGCGCTAGAGAACATGGACGAAATGAAGGCAAACTGTGTGGCTGTGTTCAAGTGCTTCAGTGTGCCAGTGTGCCTTCCTTTCGTCCATGTCCACTAGAGCTACCTTCGAAGTTCGCATAACTAAGTACACTTCTATTCGCTATGTCCATCTGCTTCTCCTCTTGCGTGGTCTTCTGACAGCGTAATGTACTAAAGAAACAGACGTAAATAAGAAGGAGTGAATAATGAAATCACACGTGACACCTGTATGCGCAAAAGGGCACCCGCGTATCAAAGCTGCGGCCAGGGTGCTGTCTAGTGCGCTATATACATTACGCCTGTGGTCCGGGTGCGTAGCGTCGCACTTCCGCTCCGTCTCCTCTTGCAGCGTTGTCAATGCCGTGACGGCCGAGCCTCGAAAGAAGCCCAGAAGACAGCGCTCCGAGTACTCGTTGGCGCACTCGATTCCCTTCAGCTGGCGCCTGCGAGGGTTCGGGATAGATACACATCAGTAGCGATGGACGAAAATGCCGAGTAACATATAACAGTCAGACTTTTACGCCACCAAAGAACACACCTAACCTCCAAACTACCGCGCTTGCTACTCTGGGAAAACTAACGAAGGGCAAGCGATCGGCATGCACAAGGGAAACAAGATAGTAAGTCAGGTTCGTCAAAAAAGCACTCGAAGGGCAGAGGTTCGAATGTTACCAAGCCGCTTTCCCCTGCAGTCTTGTGGCAGCACAAGCCGGGAATTTTAACCCCCTGCCCCCCTCTGTACAAACTCTGTAGGCTAACTTAACACATACATGACGCTACAACAACTGAAGTCAAACAGCCCATATGTATTTGCATAAATGAAGATCTAGCCCCCGGCGTGGGTTGCGCCAAGATATGGAGGAATCAACCAACCGACTAACAGACAACTTTCTTCTGGTGGTAATGGTACGAATAGGAAGTAAACAAAAAACACTTATTGAAATGCCACATCAAGGGCGTTCTGTCAGCCTTATCTACAGAAACCTGCATGGCCATAAACATCAACATTCAACAATGAGAAAAGGTGTCCGACTGAGTAGAGCTACAGGGGCATACTTAGCACCCTCATTTGATGAATAGGGGTGGGTGGCTGCTCCTCCTGTGAGCACGCTTCTGCATGTGTCTATGTGCATGTGATTGGTTCATCATATAGTGTGGGCGCACGTACATGTGCATGGTGTGCATGTGGCATGCGTGCGTGCATGTGTGCTCGCTTACACTCAAGCGTCCATGCAGGCTACCAGTAATGACGTGAGCTTCGAAAGACGCACACTGTCATTTCCACCTGCATTTTCACTTCACTGATTCAAGTTCTCGTGTCATTGAAGTATCACACACACAAGTCCATCGCCAGCGAGTCACGCCAACCAATGTCGTACTCACTTGCAGCTCTCGGCGAGATGCGTTTCGTTCTCGGGCAGCCGTGGTCCGTGCCCAAAGGAAATGAACTCCGTGCCGCAGGCATCGATGGCGTCATCCCCGCAGTCGGGATTGTCACGCAGGTACTTTGCATCTGCGCATGAATGAGCTCTTACTACCAATGTCCTTCGTTACTTTGCCAGTTTTGTATGATGCGTGATGGCTGGGCTGATTGGAAGATGCGCTAAATACTTAATAAACGCAAAGCATTTGTTGACGTACTGCCAGTACTTTTGGCGTCTACCTGTCTATCTATCGATCTATCTATCTATCTATCTATCTATCTATCTATCTATCTTCTATCTATCTATCTATCTATCTATCTATCTATCTAGCCGCCTACGTCTTGGTGTTCTCATGATCACCCCCTTGGAGTACACCTGATTTAGTACGGAAGGGTAAGATGGTTCGACAAATACGACGCCCTGGTCATGGCATGAATATTGTCACAATCTCGTCGCGTTGGTCGTCGAAGACTTTTCGAAAAAAAAGCAGTGTCACATACCAGGGTATGGGTATGCATCCCTAGTGCGCGGGTATGTGCCACAGGTGATAGATATTTTATATCAACCCAGGAACGGCGAGAACACACATGGATAATCTTAGCGCTTGATCTTTAGGGAAAATCATATATCGGATGCGTTGACCGGACAAATGCGAAGAATAAATTGCATTGTCACAGCAGGAATTGAAAGCTCGCATTCTTCAAGGCAATCACGTATTTCACCACAGAGCCACGTCAGATCTCGGAAATACTTTGCAAATCGGTCCTAATGTTCGTGAAACGTCAATCCTGGTTGCAGTCATCATCATCATCATCATCAGCAGCAGCCTGAGTACGGTCTACTGATGGACAAACGCCTCTCCCATGCTCCGCCAGTCAACTCGGTCCTGTGCTTGCTGCTGCCAATTTATATCCGCAAACTTCTTAATCTCATCTGCCCACCTAACCTTCGGTTTCCCCCTAACTCACTTGCCCTCTCTAGGAATCTAGTTAGTTACCCGTAATGACCAGCGGTTATCCTGTCTACGTGCTACATGCCCGGCCCATGTTCATTTCCTCTTCTTGATTTCAACTATGATATCCTTAACCCCGGTTTGTTCCCTAATCCACTCTGCTCTCTTCTTATCTTTTAAGGTTACACCTACCATTTTTCTTTCCATTGCTCGCTGCGTGATCCTCAATTTAAGCTGAACCCTCTTTGTAATTTTCCAGTTTTCTGCTCTGTAGCTAAGTACCGGCAAGATGCAGCTGTAGCATACCTTCCTTTTGAGGGATAGTGGCAATCTACCTGTCATGATTTGAGAGTGCTTGCCACCATACTCCGCACGTGCTCCACCCCACTCTTATTCTTCTAGTTACATCAATCTCGTGGTTCGGCTTCGCGGTTATTACCTGTCCTAAGTAGACATAGTCTTTTACAACTTCAACTGGTTGCAGTACTGGCTATGAAATTTTATAAGCATTGCATATGTACTTTATGGTGCAGTCGTTATGTTGGATTAACGTTTGCAGTTGAGCGTCATACGCTGATGTTGATTTGTGTAGAAGTGTTGAGACCTACCATCCTCGTGAGCCCCAGCGCGAACACCAGTGCTTCATATTAGCTTACCGCTTCTGGTGTTGCTAATATTCATGTTGGAATCGTTATGCAACTGCAAACAACTGCTAATATGAACTAATGTATAATATGTGGGTTGGTATAACGTATGTGTGTGCATGGATTTGCACATATATTGAGCACCACTTCATAACGACTCGTTCAATGCAAAATTTGAAACACATTCACCTTGCATCTGCCTGCTTCGTATAACATCGATTCCCAAGGAACATGGGATCCGCCGAATTCGTTTTTGTAACAGAGTATGCAAATCTTGGTATGCATATTTCCTCGTTCTTTTCAACTGTTTAACGTAGTAATGATTCTTTGTATTTTGTTCTTGTTTAACAATACTGTCGCGAGAGCAAGGTTTCCAGCTCCAGTATCTTCTCAGGAAATTTGTGCAAAACCAACTCCTCTGCTTCTTTTTTAAGTCTTTCTTTGTACTCTTCTACCTTTGGGTTTGTTTCTCTGGCCATTACAGAGCTTCGGCTTTTGACTTTAATGGAATGTGGGATAAATCGTGTTTTCCAGCCTGGGACAGGCGCCTACACGCTCCATTTACGGCTTAAAAACGGAGCAGTCAAGGTCGCCCCCGTTCGGGATTAGAAGGGGAAAGCTTACTAGGAAAAGCGTCTAGCAGGAGGCAGCTCCGGCGCCACCGTCTGAGTCTAAGCCATTGTTAACAGGCACGCGTGTCATTGAGAATGACATGGGGACGCGACCACTTAGCCTGACCGAGACATAGTGGCGGCAGGTAAACGACCATATTCTCTCGCGCTGTTGTTAGGATGTCGGGGCGCCTCGCTGTCGCATCTACACCTGGTAAGCAATGGTGTACCCATCGCTCTTAAGGACGCTTCTAGAAAGCAACAGTTAATGAAAGAACTTACGGGGCCCGAGCGTGGGAACGGCCGCCGACGGTAGTCGGCCGAAGGAAGCAGCACGGCCTGGTATGGGAGAGAGTGTCACGTGCGGAGGACCTTTCCCTTTGCTTGTTTCATTTTGGTAAGGAGGTTTTTACAAATGTAGTGCCTTTTATGAAAGTGTTTGTGTGATTGGTTGAGATGCTGCGAGTCCGAACATGTGATTGGTTTTTGTGAAGACTCTTTGTTCGACCAAGGGTTAAAAAGAGGATGTTTGAACTTGAAAAGCGGAGCGGAGTCGGGGGTAAACGGCGGATCTCACCACCGGAGACCAGACCATGCCGGCCGAGGGGTATGCCACCATTTTCTATGTTTTGTCTTTGTGACCCAGTGCATTTTGTAAATTGAAGTTGTGTTAGCTAAATAAACCCCCAATGAGTTCTCCCCGAAATCATCGTGTTGACTTCTCATCGATTACCTGCGCGGAGTTTCACCCACACTTATTCGTCTCCCTGGTCGTCCGATGCGCCTAACTTTGAACAACCCCGACGTTTCGCTACAATACACTGCATGATTTGATAGGTTACTTTGAATGTTATTCGTTATGAATCAATATTATCTGCATTGTGCTATCTGTAATGACTCCAAGACTGGAGTCGACGGTATCGAAAATAAATCAATATTACAAGAAACATTACGAGGGGGCCAAATCACAGGTTTGACTGTTGAAATGCGCGTGCAATGTTGAAATACTTTAATGGGAAAACCTACATTTCAATTCCACATTGAAGCATCGCAAACAAAAATGAAATTGTGAGGACACGATAACCGCCTAAAATGTAACATTAACAATTAGCCAGTGTCGACCATGCTACAATTTAAAGTGTTTAAGGGGTGTGTTGATTAGGGTGTTCTAGTAATCGCAATGAGAGGAAAGTTATATAACGTTTCTCTTTAGCTCGCTTCAGTTCAGCCTAAGTGAACACACCACTAAAAAGTGACAGTTTCGCCGCAAGGGCGAAGGAATGAATGCGATAGCAACAACTTGGAACGTAACGCTGAGAACGGCTAGCAGATCGAAACGTGCAGCGCGCTGCTCGCGCACAAATGACGAACGAAAACGACACACACGGGGCGAGAGCTAACTAACAACGTCTACCGCTCGACGCTTAACACACGGTTTAAACTAAAACGACGCACGAAACGTAATCACAGTGACAGATATGAGTGCGAAGTAACTAGTGTCCTGGTTGTTACTATGCTATGTTTGAAAAGCGCGCTTTTTTCGGCAACGGGGCCTGCCCGGCTAGTGAAGTGGTCTTTGTGCGCCCGGCAACTAAACGCAATCTTTCCGGTGAAAGCCGAAGATCGCGCGATTCTCCCCACCGAGGGATAAGCGCGCGCGCACAAGCACCTAGCCCCCCCCCCCCCCCCCCCGCGTCCATCCGCGGAGCGAAGTACGCGTGCGAGATTAGCGCGCGTTGGCGCATTGCGACGAGCAGGGTGCCGAGCACGAGAGGGTGGCACACCGGGCACGTGCCCCCCCCCCCCCCCCCCCGAAATTTTTTAGCCATATCATAGAGAGCAAAAAAATGGCCATTTTAAGAGATGCCCATTCCGAAATCGGGGTGGTTCATCAAGCTATCAGCAAACGCTATATAATGTGCTGCCATCTGTGAGGCATCGTAAGACACTTTGTGGCCTCCAAAATAGCAAGTGCGCGGCGTGTATCTTCGAGGCCATGCGACTCTTGCTTTAGATCAAAAACCTCTATCAAAAACGTCTATTCGCGCGTGCGTGCGTGTGTGCGTGTGTGCGTGCGTGTGTGTGTGTGTGTGTGTGTGTGTGTGTGTGTGTGTGTGTGTGTGTGTGTGTGTGTGTGTGTGTGTGTGTGTGTGTGTGTGTGTGTGTGTGTGTGTGTGTAAAAACATATTAACAAGTATGCACTTAGCGGTTGAAGGGCGCACTAGGGGCTGGATCTCGCTATCGCGTGCAACTCTTGAAGGCGAAGCCCAAGGGTCCCCCTTTTTTTCTTTGAGTTTTCTGATATATAGATACGTATACATACACGGTGCATGACGGCGGCGGCAGCGGCAACGGCGAAAACCAGCCGAGACTGTCCATATTATTGTCATCGCAATAAAAGCTTGTTTTTTGTTACGCCTAACTTTGTTCGGGGTATCGTGCTCCGCAAACTATCGCGGTCAGCTTCACAACGCTGAACTGCCGCACGCGCAACAGCATTCACCAAACCAAGTAACTAGGCAGAACCACACGCTTAGCTGCCCCTCGGAAGCGAGCGGACGTCTCGGTCAGTTAAGCGGACTAAGTGCCCGAACTCATTGACTTCAAGGGCGTGACCCCCATGTTAATTTCCTTTCGACGTCTTCGTCTCGGGACTAAAGCTACGGGAAACGAAACAGATCTTTTGTTTACTGCGTTTTGTTTATAGAGCGTGACACGTTCTACGTTGTCTTTGTTGTTCGTTGTTTTTCTCGGCTTGTTTAGTCCCGCAACACACCTTACGCCGCAGCGGATGTCTCAACCACGTAAGTGGCCCTCGGCAAACGCAGCGATCCGCCGCTGATGACAGGGGTTGTGTCCGGTCTTTCCACCGCCTCTCGAATGTTTGCGCGTGGCACGATTAGAGCTTTAGCAGTGAGACCACTGGCCAGTTTGTTGTTGTTGTTGTTGTTGTTGTTGTTGTTGTTGTTGTTGTTGTTGTTGTCTCGGCGAGATGCTGTTGTTAAAAACGGTAGCAAACTTCCACTAAATGTTTAATGATCTTACTGGGCGCTGACAAGTACGAACACTTTTCGCCGGTAAAAAGTCCCATGAAGTATCACGCCGGCAATGACCGATGTTACCACCGACGTTGCCGTACGCCTATCTCGTCCCTGTATGCTATACTTTCAAATCTCCGGTGGTTCCTTCGCGTGGTTGTTTGAGTTATTTCGACGTCTTGAAGAGAGGCCTAAGCATTCCTGACATCTTTTCCAGCAGAGCTTTTTAGCTTCGAGGTTATCCGCATGTCGTAGAGAGAAAACTATCACTATACAGCTGCACGCACTTAATCAGCGCCCAGGCTCTCCGTACAGATAGTGAACAAGAAAGGGCGGCGGCCCCTAATAGTCAGCTATGGTATATTATATCAAAGCGTAGGAGCGAGGTCAGAGGGTCAACGTCTAGCTAAGCCAGGATTAGCTATCACCAGCTCTCTCGTGACACAGTGTTGCGAAAATTAACACAAGGTGTGCTAAGTCTTTCTACGGAAAATAATAAAAAATGTTTCCGCAGCATGCGTTCAAAAGGCCACTTTTCATCTTTCAAATTGTCATTTGACAATATTTTCTCACATAGTGCCACCCACATCCTTTTTACTAATTACCTATAACTCTGTAGTTATGCACAATGGTGACGATTTCGACCGCCGACCAGAACAGGCATGGAGTTAAATGCCCGGGCGCATGCAATACATCTTGTCTATGATTGCACTCAAGAGACCGTAAATTAACTAATGTAGTCATAGGCATGCGTAGGGATCGTTCTCAAAGGGGACGGGGGGGGGGGGGGCAAAGGTTCGTCGCAGCATCCCCCATCCAGTGATGTCAATGTATTGAGCTGGCTCTGCGCACCACCCCCAAGCCCCGAGTCACAGTGCCCCCCACCCTTTTTTTATTATCAATGTACGAGGCTGATTTTGCAACCCCCCTCTTAAGTGACTAGGGAGTGGCCGCCCCATCCCCCCCATCGCACGCTTATGAATGTCATCAGAAGTACTTTGCAACCGTAGAGTTGATAATACAGGGCTCCACGGCGGCTATAGAGTCATTTGCTAAACAACGGGAACTGTCCCTTCTGTGACTGATTTTTCGAGTAACATGGGTCGCAGACACAACTACTTTGTCATAAATGAATTGCGGACTTACCTAAAGAGTAGGCATATAGTGAATCGAGGATAACGAGGTGGCAATATGCCGCATTTTCAAGCAGCAACACTTGTATGTAGTATTTGTGCAACTGCCGCCTTCTCTGCAAACCTCATCGCCCGACGTATGTCTCCCGTTGGCCGTAACATAGACTTGACAGAAGATTCACTTTGCATTTGTCATCCGGCTAATACATCATAAACGAGTGCAGAAGCAAGTCGTGAAAGCGTCAGATCAATCTCTCGTAAGTAGAACATAGGAAGAAAGGCGGTCGCTTGATTCAGCAGTATTGTGGACCCACGAGCATTTCTTAAGCTTGCGGCATTTTGCGCAAATGACTTCATATGTGCTTCCAGTTCTCGAGTTACTCGCCTTCGTGCTTATAGCTAGCCTCTTGATCAACACAATATGAGAGAGTAACCTACCGTGAAAGGTGTTAGTTGCGGGCACGGATGGTTGCGGCATATCCAAATAAATGCAGTAGCCGAGGTAGTACAAACCTCAGACTCTCCTCGACTAGTCAGTTAAAACATATTACCGAAACATAATTTTTTCTTTACCTACTAAGCTTTTGTATTTTAGCTTCACCCTACACTACACTCTGAATGACGGCCTTTCCTTTCATTCTCCATATCACTAGTGAACACGCACAACTAGCCAGAAAGACACAGGACAGCCGCTGGAGACATGTTGCTCTGCGTCTTTCTCTGTGGTCCTTGTTCGTGTCCGCTAGAAACGTGAAAGTGTTCAGTCAATACCTACTAGCTCAGCTAAATGCATTAACAAGTTTGTTTTCAGTATTCTAATAGCCGATCTAACATAGTGTCCGTGTGCGATTCCGTTGAATGTCTGGTTGGTCACTCCGGTGGTCCTTCAAACCTAACGTCTTTCTAACAATGTACCTGTGTTGATCGACGGATGTTCGAGAGTAATATAAAAAAATATCTGGTTGGTCACTCCGGTGACCATTCACGCCTAACGTCTTTCTAACAATGTACCGATGTTCGCTCATGGTATCTTTGTGCCATCACGTTCCTTCGTTCAATGTCGTCCAGAGGCTATTCAGTTGTGACCAAACACCATGCAGGCTACATCCGAATCGCGAGAGTCTGAGAACGACTAGATGAGCAAGAAGTTAAGCTTTGCACCATATGTTTCAATTCGCCTGTGCTACATCGAATGAAAAGGACTGGCTACTTGGGCTGGTTGGTATCGCATTGTTGAAAGAAATATGCTTTCTTAGTGCGCAGGAAACGTGTGCTCTGTCCTATCTCTCGGCTCTATCTTTCTTCTGAAAACGTTTTATGCGCACTAAGAAAGTATATTACTTTAAAAAAACTTGTTGAGCATGACAGCGTCACTAGCGAGACCTGAAGGTTCATCCTGGGCGAGCAACACCACAAGGCACCCATCTAGAGAGCACCACCGGGCAGTGGAATAGCGAAGGTCTACCACTCCGGGACCGTGCCCTTCACCCCCCCCCCCCTCCCTGAATTTTTTTTTCGCCATGCATACATAGCGCAAATGACCGTTTGCCTGACTATCCCCTACTTTAGATCAAGGAGGTGCTTCTCTCTGGAAGGACATGTATGCATTCAACCCTGCCACGATGGTCCTGTATGGACCTGCATGGTCCAACTGAATGCCATGCTGGGCGATGCTACAATCATAGCAACGACAGTGCGCCGGTGTGATCTCTTCCTCCGGAACCATACTCTCATTACCCGTCTCAACTAATGATTACATTGTCCCAGCTGCATGACGAACACATCGAACCGTAGTTAAGCATACTGGCTCTTCGGACTCTTTTTTTAAATTAGCATGTGTGTATTATTTTCTCCTTGTATCTGAGTGTGCGTATGTATTTTAGCAACATGCAATCCTAATACGTACAGGCAGTTTCATCGCATCGGTTAGGCTGTCTCTCGTGAGTCCGATGACCCAACCCTTAGCAAGCACTTCTTTCTGACCATGGACTGACGCGTAGATTGTGGGTGCCCAGCAGGACCCTGAGGACTGTGTAGCCAAAAAAGCAATCATCCAAAATTTCACCGATTCACTGCACGCTCATGGCGTCCGCAGCTCTTCGTTATCTAGCCAAAAGTGCTTCCATGTTTCAGCAATTATAGTACAGCACAATATTATTCGAATTTCCTCAATTTTCTCTTGTAGATGAGGTGCTGTGTTACACTTCACGTCATAATGACTCTGCGTGTTCCATAAGCCACCTAGATTTTTTAGTGTGGTGTTGTTGTAGTAGTGACTTGTATGTGACTACGAAAACTATGTTTTATGCCCCACCTATTCAAATCCAATGAATAAAAGTCAACACTTATGCGCACCTAGCGTCTCATGCTACTTTATCAACAGAATAAGCAGCGTTTGATATACAGTACAACAATGACTAAATCCTATGCGTTATGCATATTGCTTAACATGATTTCTCTTATCATATCCAGCTAAGCGATTTGAAGCAGCCGCCCACTATAGTTTGTGATGGGATACATAGAATGTGACTTCTCGGCAGCTACGCATCCTCATCAAAACATTTATCACTTATTAACTTTCCCTTTTCCGCCCTCTGTTACTTCGCAGTGCCTGAATTTGGCCTAGAATACCATAATAAACACAGAGGTGATGATATGATTGAGCACACGATTACTATCTCTGATAATAAGATTGAACGCCTTCGAGCACAACGCCCATTCCAACGCTCTGACCGTTAGTTTAGGCTTGCAAGCATGCGCCTTTCGTTGAAGACAGCTCCAACAACTGGGTGAATTCACGAGTGTAAAAGGTTTACTCTGACTTAACGCAACAAGTATCCATAAATGCCGAGTAGCTTTCTAAAGTGTGAGTGTGTGCCTCTCGCGTTCATACCTCGTGACGGCTAGCATCTTTACGACGCTTGCTACACTGAACCATGAGGTTTCTGACCTGTGACTAGCTGCATTACGTTCCTGACCGGTGACTAGGTGCGTTGTTCTTTTTTTTTTTCTGCAAGCGTACGCTGTGAACATTTCTGTCTCCACCCGTAATTTTTCTTAGAGGTTATTCGGTATACGTCCGATGCAGTTGAAATTCCCATGCTTTGCTAATTAAACTGATCAACGCTCGGCATCGTGACTCACCGGCGCTCAAGATCGGGCCCACAACCGCGCCGACGATCAGGGTGAGCAGGTACCGCATCTTCGCCGTGTCTTTCCGGAACTGCAGAGAAATCCTTGTACGACGCCGCGGCACTCAATTGTGTGTGCCCACCCCGAAAAGCGACGACTCAATGCCTGCTATAGCCCACACCTTGTTGCCACTTCGTTCGACGTCGTTGTCGTCGTGGTTGGGCGCTTTTTCAACGGCGAGCCACGACGGCGATAGTTTCCTTGATTGGAGGGAACGGTTACCTTGACTCCCTTACGACGCAACGCTGCGCCGAGCGTTCCGAGACGGGCGAAGTGTGCGCGGCGGTAGCTCCTCGAGCCGCCGGGCCCTTTCTTGTCTCGCCATCTCCCTCTTGCCAACGACGACTCGGCAAGGACGGGACCTACATGGCGGAGTCCGCGCGGCGACGTTTTATCTCCCGTTTCATGCCGACACATGCGAGCGGCGGAATTTCGCACGCCAGAAGTTAGAACTGTGTTTGTTTTTTCTTAAAGAACCGACAATAAATGACCTTTCCCGTGAGAAACGAAATGTTTTTCGTTTATGGCGCTACGTCTCTCTTATTATCTCCCTCACTCTCTCTATCTCTCTCCTTGGCTGGTCGTCGGCGTACTTGAGGGATGGAGAAAGTAATGCGGCAGTAGCTGTGGCAGCGCCACGATCCGTTGCCAGTGTAAACAGTGGTATGCTGTAAAAGAGCAGTGTTAACTCAAAACTTCTAGCCATCCTAGCTGGAGCGAATTCCTCTTTTAGCCACTTTCGGTGAAACAAGTAAGGAAGAAGCAAAGAGTACTCGTCCGTGTGCACTCCTTCCTTCATCCCTTACCTGTTTCACCCGAAGTGGCTAAAAGATTAATAGTAGTGGTTGTTATAATCAGCTGCTGCACCAGCAATGATAGTGTGTGTAGCGACAGCATCGGACGCAACAGTCGCAATATAGTGGTCGCAGTAGTAGCACTTGTAATACCAATTTATTCACTTTTACACCTTTACGTGCATTATGTTTGCATTATGTTTGAATACCTGCACTTATTTTAACTTGCACACTAATCTAAATACACGGCTGCGCTTACGTTTTGGCCCATCAAAATGGAGCCCCCATGGTCGGGAGTCAAACCCGTGATTTCGAGCTTAGCAGTGCACGACAGAGCACTAGTAGTAGTAGTAGTAGTAGTAGTAGTAGTAGTAGTAGTAGTAGTAGTAGTAGTAGTAGTAGTAGTAGTAGTAGTAGTAGTAGTATAGTAGTAGTAGTAGTAGTAGTAGTAGTAGTAGTAGTAGTAGTAGTAGTAGTAGTAGTAGTAGTAGTAGTAGTAGTAGTTGATGTTATAAGAGAAGGCGAGAAATAAAGGGTCGTATCAGCAATAGCAGTAGCAGCACTGTTGGCTGCTACTGCAGCACTATTGGCTGTACTATCGGCTGTACTATTGGTTGTACTAGCAGTAACAGCGGTAGTACTACTACAAGTAACGCTTTCGAGCGATGAACGCAGATGCGCTCGCAGTTGTTCACAATACTTCACGATGCATGCCTAGTTACGTGGTGGAGGGAAAACAAATCTACCGTGCTCGTAACCTGCGGCCGTATTGGGATAAGGAAGAAGCCTTGACCGCATCACCGCAGCGAGGAAAGTGATCAGGCGAGGAGTTGTAAGGAGAGAAGTCAGTCATCGCGTAACACGGCGTAAGCGATTGAAGTCAAGGCGAGACACATATATCTGCTGCTCATAATCATTCCATGATTCTAACTACATCCAATCAAACTAGCTCGACAGCTTGTACGGATGAATACAGCCGCGATGGAGTGATCACTCAGTACGGGGCTACTTGCGATACACGAACTCTATCGATTACTGCGAAATACATCGGAGGAAGTCCGAAAAATGGGTCACTATACAACGAATGCGTCGGGATACGCTAAGTATGGTGTGGAAGTCGCATTTACATTGCACTGCGCATTAGGAGCCCATATTAGTGGCCACAAATTCGGCACAATTACGTTCTACATCTTCAATTTTACCGATAATCAACGAATCACAAAAATAAAAGGAACATTTGAGTGATTCACTGGTAACATTCGGTGATGACAATCATACATCCGGTAACATCCGGTCAAGCTTGGACGCTCTGTATAATGTTCAAAGTTTTAAAAAAATATCGCAGTCATAGTACACTACGACTTGTTCGGCGTAACTGTGGCCATAGTTTATTATGGCTAACTACTTTCATCCCTGGAGTTCATGCAGCTCCAAGAACCTAAATTCGTCAAATCACTTCCGAGCAGTTTAGGTGTGCATCAAAGAGTGACTATCAACACGCCCACACGACTTCTCTCCTCCATAGATACGTTTTTACTGAAAGCAAGGCCCTTTGTTTTCCTGTGGGCTTTATATCTGTCCACAAGCAAAGAAGGCACAGTGATGATGTAATGGCGGACGTGTGACATGCGTTTTCTTGGATGGCCCAGTTATAGCGTGGCGAAAGGTCTTGAGCAGCACCATGACGCTCTTGGGGACCTTGGTGTTGGCGGGCAGCCTGGGAAGCTTTGGCAGCGCCTTGCAGAACTTGGACTCGGTGGTGAAGCCTCCGCAGAAGATCTTCAGGGCGTTTCCCAGGATGTGCTCTCCGGCGTTGCGGGCAAACAGGATGGCCTGGGGGTCGTTGCACTTGTCGCGCAAGGTTCTTTTCGCGGCAATGGAACATCTTCGTGTAGTCGCTGTGCAGAGAAGGCGTGAAGAGAAACAAGGTTTAATGCTACGAAGGCGCCCTGCTTTGGGTTGTGTATTGACTCAGTTAATTAGTTCATACGTATATAATTTATCAATAAGTTACCTTACCTTACTTAATCACTGACCTGCGTAGATTTTTTTATCCGCCTGACTACACATGGGCGGCACAAGGATTTATTCACTCGGGGCGGGGAGGAAAAAAGGGGGGGGGCACCCAAGTGAGTTTTTTTAGGGGTGAAGGAACTAGGATGAGTTATGCGTTATCTTTTGACTATATTTGATTTGGGGGATAGGGAGGAGAGGCAGGGAATAATTGTGAGGGGCTACGCCCCCCCCCCCTTGATAACCCCCCGCCACCAATGGCGCCAACCAGGCTTATACTTTACTTGATTGATCCTGCCTACTTACTAACGCATATTTTACTTAATTTATTCGTATTTACTCGTTGATTGATTGTATGACAGATGCGGCAGATTGTATTGACAGATGCAGTGTATTGACAGATGCAGCAGGTTGAAGCTTTGCTTGGATGTACAGGGGCCGTTGAACATTCCCAGGCCACGCTGCCATAAGAATACACGAGACAGTAACTCGGGATCTTTCGGAGGGCCTCTGTGCCTAATTAGTTCACTTCACTTGCTGCATTTTAACTCTCCCTTGCTTTACCACTACACTGGCTTATTTACTTTGTCACTTATTTTTTGCCTGACTTTCTTATTCCTAACTAAATTAATGCTACATTTCTCCTACTAAACTCATTGATAAGTTGATGACTTTCGTTCAAGAATATAAGCATGTCACGAGGTGACTTAATGAACACTATCTGGGAATGTACGTCCCAAAACGACGATATGATTATTCGAGACGGCGGGGCGGAGGGCTCCGGAAATTTTGAACATGTGGTGTTCTTTCAACGAGCACTCATGTCGCGTGGTACACGGGCCTCCCCCATTCTGCCTCCACCGACACGTGACCGCCACTGCCGGAATCGAACCCGCGACCTTCGGTTGAGCAGTCGAGCACTGCAACCACTCATTCATCGCGTCGCACCACAAGGTGACTCAGGGGACACAGTTAGATTACTGTTCACTGATGAAATTCGAATTACATAAGTGTTACGGCGTTACACCCAATAAAGCAATGCTTGCAGGTATACCTGAACAACCACAGTAACAATTAAGCAGCAGGAAACTCCTGCTCTACAGGAAAGGTGCACTGTAAGCAGGCCGGGGAACCAACAGGGCGTACCTTTCTCCGCCGAGTTTACGCAATTCGCTGTCCGATGTGACAAGTAAGCTGTCCGCGAACGAAGACGACGGAAACGCGTAACAAATGACCTTCCTGACCTCATGACCGCCACCGTTATCAGGGCGCGAGGGTTACTTTCGTTCCGGCTCAGTGACCACTGATGACCGTGTTGCGACTGCTGTGTTCCGTCCACTGCAGGGGACAAATGTGTCCACGATACTGTCGCCATAGCCGCGTAATCTACGACTCAGATGAAAGACGTCACGCTAGGGCCTGGCAGTGAGACGGGAAACTTGTCATTGACTCGGGGGCGATTGAAGGCTGTTGGTTTTGTCGTCGGGTGTTCTGACGTCGAACTACCACGTGAAGTATGAATAACTATATTGGTCTAAGCAATAAATAGAGTTCAATTCAATTCAATTTTGTTTTTCAGTATGCACAGACGGATTCACTGTTAAAGGGAACACTTGAGTGCACGTTATGTTTCGATTCCACTCTCTTCCAAACGCAAGGTCACTTGAATTCGCGTAGGACTACCACTAATTGACAGATTTGACTTCCTTTGAACGACTAGTGCCGTGCATCAGTAGTGTTCACTGATCCACTTCCTGTTAGAGGGCTCGTAATATCAACGGTGCTCATTGTATTGTTCTCTTTAACAGTGTATAGTACTGTGCATGCCGGATGGCTGCGTTGGGTTAAAAGATGCGTAAATATATTGACGGTGTGTAAACCTAAATTCAAAGAATCCAATATTTTTATGAAAAGACGTGTGTATGTCCCTGTTGCTTGGTGTGTTGGTTCTCCCATCGCTTTTTGTGTTTTTTCCGTAAGGGAGGTCACCAGGCGAAGGCCGAACCTAATAAAACTAAGGCAGCGTAATTGAAGTGTATGTCATTCCAAACAAATACCTAATTACTGCGAAAAAATATGTTGTTTAAAATTACATCATTTTACATTTTACATCATAATGTTTAATTTTACATCATAAATGCTCTGCTTACGGTGGTAACCCGCTCCACCTGATTTTCTTTCCTTTGAAACGCCGTGCAGTACCTAATGCCTGTGACGTATAGGTACAATAATAAAATATTTCGCCAAGAAAACTAATGAAAATGAAGTTATCTGTAGACTCTTTCGCGAGAGCTAGCCAGGGTGGTTATTCGCCTTAAGGCACGTAAGGTTTTCTGCCCTGCAACGTATAGAGGAGGCGGTTGGTGTAATACAAAAGAAAAAGAGATAAGACGAGAGAGATGGTTGGTGTGAACTCAGAAATACGCATACTATTCGCATTCATGTTAATTCTTTTTTTTTTTGTCTTCGAAGCCAACCCAGCTCGGCGCTTGATAACAGTGTCAAACAAAAGCCTACTCACCAGCACCCGTAACGGATGCGGTCCTTCCTCTCGGCATTGACGGCGGTGGTGTAGAACTCCTTCTTGAAGTTCACGATGCACTTGTGAATTGGGTCACCGGCCTTGTTCAGGCACTTGGAGTGCTGAAGGAATTCTGCGGTGAAGAAAGAAAAAAAAAATCTCGGTCTCTTGAACTCGCTGCACAGTCTACGAGGCTATGTATACATTCAAAACTATTGTTTTGACTCATGCAAACGTATTGAATCTCCACCGAGAGAGAAAGTGAAGCGAAAGTGAAATCGCGTAACAATTCTATAGGTCGAAGCACCACTTCGACCAGTCGCAGACAGCTAATGGCGGCCGAAAATTTTGTAGAAAAGTAAAAGAATTGTTCAGTGATTGCACCCCGGGATATGCATTGCCTCCTACCTAAGATACTTGCTTAAATTTATATAGTGCTCCTGTTATTGGCGCGTATAAGAGTTGTGGCTAAACTGCACGCTATAGGGAAAAACTTTCTTTGCTAAACTGTTTTATCTCTGAAATTCGATCTTTCTGGTGATAGGAGACACCATTACAAACTGATTCATTGATTGATATGTGGGGTTTAACGTCCTAAAACCACCATATGATTAAGAGAGATGCCGTAGTGGAGGACTCCGGAAATTTCGACCACCTGGGGTCCTCTACGTGCACCCAAATCTGAGCACATGGGCCTACACCATTTCTGCCTCCATCGGAAATGCAGCCGCCGCAGCCGGGATTCGATCCCGCAACCTGCGGGTCAGCGGCCGAGCACCTTAGCCACTAGTCCACCACGGTGGGTCGCCATTACAAACTGTTAGATGACCACGGCATCTCACCCCGTGTAAAAAAAAAATGACATATTCATGAAGTGATTGACGACGAGTGGGCGAAGCTCCGGGGGATCAATAACATCCGTACATTACCCACTCGATCATGCAAAGACGTGAAAAAATGTGTGTACAGTATATACAAGTTTGTTTATTATTCACAATGCGCATATGGTGTTGAGAGGTCCAACTTTACACGACCCTCAAACATATCCGCCATATGCATTCCGACATGCTAGCTGCAGGAATAACAGGATACGCACAAACTACAGTTTCCAAACGTTGCACCACCAGATTACAACACTCTTAAAGAACAACAAAGGTATGGAAGAACTAAGAAATCACAAATCAGAAAAAATAATTCAGTGCCCAATAATTCAACTACTTCTTTCTTAGTCAATTTATTTTATTTCATTCACTGCATATCGCCTGCTATTTGCGTTCGTTGTGTTAGGTGTCAACAATGATACGTTTTATTATATATTCACTTGTAAAGTCTTATTCCATCTTTTTATATATATTTAAAGTTGTTCGTGAAATACTACTTCTTTTCTGTAATTTTTTATGTTGCTTTAGTTTTTTTGTCATTGTTTATGTGCAAACTGTTGTTTCTGTTGGGAGGACTTCTGTTGGGAGGACTGGGAGGCCAGGCGTGAATTCCTTTTGTCCCCTCTTTCCGAAGTGTACTTTTTTTGCACTTGAATAAAATGAAAAATAAAATACAGATACCCATATGTCTATATGAATATCCATATGTCTATATGAATATGAATATTATATGGATATCCATACGGTGTCACGCCGACGGAAAGGTGACATGGCTCCACACTGAGGAGCTTCGCCCCTAAAAAATGTATCTGGATAAGGACATCTCCATCTCACATATATTCTAAACATGATAACGTTAAGGGAGCACTGACACAGTTTGGAAGCATCCAAAAAGGGACATTTATTGTTTTTCATTTCCATAGTATGCACTATCAATCCTATCTCCACCCGACGGAGCCAGAGAACACGTATATTACTGTACTTTGATTTTAAAGTGTTCGTCAACCAGCATCTGCAAAGCAGTGACAGCGCAGTGAAAATTATACCTGTGAGTCAAAAAGGTTGACTGGGTTTGCGGAATCTGCGCCACGCACACAGCTTAAATTGCAGATATCCATGTCGGAGTAGCTGGACAACAATTCACTCATCATTTTTCGCGTGAACTGCCTGCGACTGACAGTAAATTACGCAACTGGTGCTTGTATTTCGCTAGCTGCAGTGTCTTTCCGTGACGTCTGGTTCGTGTTGACAAGCCGCTGCGAAGCCGCTCCTTCGCAGTGAATAATTAAGTCATTCCCAAGCACTACGACACCGTTTTTTAGGATGCTCCACACCCGTGTCGAAGTGACCTGTTTCGAGTGGTGTAGCAGAGGTCACCTGACCCGTGCGAAGCTGTGACATGAAACTACTACTCACTCTTCATTCCTCTACCTCTTCCGCACCTCACCGCCAGCAGCAGGCAATGCCTCGAATAAAGGTCACATACATTCGATTTATGGAGTGACAAGTGGAAAATGATTAAATTTTGTGTCAGTGCTCGTTAAAGGACCTCCTTTCGCCAAAATGCCGGCGTTAGCGTGGGCGTCATCGCTTGTGAGCTAGAAATCATCGTTGTCCGTCAGCGAAAATTCGAGATGCAGTGCAGATGTGCACGTGTTGCCTTACAGACGTGAAGTCGGCACTTCGATAACTCCGAAAAGAAAAAAAATAGATTGTTGCTGGCACTTTGCAACTGTACTTGCGGTAGGCATTCTAGGGCGGTTGAAGAGGGCCAGTTTTTGGGCACGTTGTTGTTCGTTTCTTTGCGGCACGGCTTTGATGTCCACCGTGAAGTGACACGAGTCTAGCAATTCAGAATGGGACGCGAATGGGGGCCGACTACGCTGTCACATTTTACATTTGAAGGTCAATCTCAAGTGTCCCTCAAAATTCTTTTTTCCCCTGTTCATTAGGACCTGTATTCACGGGTATGCTTCTTCCATTGGCCCCGAACAAAACTATCTCTCAATACTACCATAGATGAAGGCTGAGAGCAGTGGCGGATCCAGAGGTGGGTGGTAAAAGCGATCACCCCCCTCCCCCAAAGTCCGTGTCAGCACCCCCTCCCCTCACTTCAGTGCTCGTAGCTTACCTCCTATCCCGAATGAGGGCAAATTGGTGAAACCACTGTGACACACATTAACAGTCTTTATACTATGAAGGGTTTTTTTCTTTTACTAGTAAAAAAGTCAGTTTACGTTACGTAAAGGTTTACGTTCTGTAAAGACCCGCGCATGCTCAAATTCAACCCAGTATCCTGTAAAAAGGGACGGTAACCTAAAGAAGTATAGGTTCAAGCTAAAAGCCCCTATAGTTCCACCTAGCGGCTTCACCGTGCATTAAGCTGCGCAATGAATGTTATAGCACTCTCTCGCACTCACCAGTGTGCTCGACGTGCGATGTGTTGCACCGGCGGTCGTTCTCCTCTCGCATGGTGTTGATGGCGGTGAAGGCGGTGCCTCGGTAGACGCCGATCAGGCACTTGTCGGTGTAGTTCAACGCGCACTGCAGAGCTTTCGTCCGCTTCCTGCAAGGAGATCACGTGGTTGTGGGAAGACTGCATACACCTTTTGTACGTTCGTTGCTCGTTGAAAAATTGAACGCAATCTGAAGAGAGTTCCTCCCATTTGTGGCGTATTTCTTTCCCACGACGCTTGTGATCTATACAGCACGTGCCTTTCCTTCCACTATCGCCAGCTTACCCGATACTACAGTTACCTGGTACTACACATTGTGGAAATCATTTACTGTCTTCATATGACTCGCATATGACTCGCAAGAGAGTTAGCGTGCCTCTCTAAAGACAGTCATATAAGTGACAAGTCAGGACTCCCTGAAGCGAGCCCCATACACTTCTCTTTTTTTTTTTTCTTTAGAGTGTATGGGGTAGCGACAAAACAGTATTATTGAAAAAGTTGCTGGTGCCGAGTTTTAGGAAAAGAAATTCAAACAGGTGAGATGACCATTGCGGTTATGTAGTGAAAGACACACAATAAATTCGTCGTACAGTAAAATGTATAGAGAGATTTGTGTGTCCACCTTGTAAGCCTGAGACAGCGGGGAAGGCCATCCGCAAGGATAAACAGGTCAAGACATGTTTCTGGTGGTGTGTGTCGACATGATCAAAGACATTGGGCTACCTTAACTGAACAGCAATCAAGCATGAATACTTTTATTGCTCTGTCTAATATTTGACCATCCCCCAGTATGCTAGCAGATAGCATCACGCACAACAATAAAAAAGGCGACCAATTCGTTGATTTTGTCGATGCAGTAAGCGGTCTTGCTACAAATCATTTCATGTCGTGGTCAGCTTTCTGTGCGCAGAGGTTATAGTTATCACACCACACCCTGTCATTCAGAACTGATTATTTCTTTGTTCTTCTTACTCTGTTAAACGCGCAGTCGGACAGTCCATGACTATGCCATCTTTTTTTGTTTTTTTTGTGGTCTGACAACTCCCTTTGAACAGCAGTTCTTACAACAATAAACAACGGGTGAGTTCACTCTTTTGGAATAACGGAAATGAAGACAAAACAGAGCAAAGGAGAGAGCGAGAACAAACGAGTTTCTACGACGTCACTCACTTGCAGTAGTCGGCGAGCTTTGAAGCGGTGTCCGGCAGCTTGGAGCTGAAACCGAACGTGAGGAACTCCAGGTTGCACTTCTCGGCTTCGGCGTCACTGCATCCTTTGCCCAAACTCACAACCTGCGCAACGGCTGGCGGAGAGAACAAATTCTAGGCAATGAGGATTTCTTTTTTTCTCTCATTGCTCGGAACAACTTTTTCAAAATAAACTTCTATATTTTTTTTCTCTCTTTACCGACTGTTACTGATGATGTTGATATTATTAGCGATTACAGCAAGATTCGTGATTACAACAGAGCTAACTACGTCGCCATTAACACCAAGCTAGATGATTTCTTAAATGACTTACTTCTGCCAGCTTTTTCCCAACGCTCTATTAATGCACACTAAGTTTTAAGCAAACAGAAACTGCTAGCTTTTTGTTGAACCATGGTTGAACAAAACGTGCGACAACTTCGTAATAAGAACAATTGTCTCTGCTGTCACGCTAAAAACTGAACAAGTGAGTTTTCATGGAGCAAGTAGAAAGCTTTCCTTAGTAAGTACACCGATGCCTTACGCACTGCTAATGACAAGTATTTCGCTGAGGACCTACTTTCTATCCTGAGCTCCAATTCGCAAAAAAAAGGCAAAGTATTACACCTAATCACAGTTTCGATATTTTGTTACAACACAATAGACAACAGCCTCCTTCAGACGCGGAATGCATTCAATACATTTTTACTTTTGATTTTACAGGGGAAGACCATCCCGATATCTCAGTGGGACGGGAAAACGATTACCCTTTATTAGCACATATGGGTATCTCAGTTTACGGTATTGCTTATCTCTTTAACAAACATTAAAGGAACATCCGCATGTGGTATCGACGATATTTACTATAAGCTATTAAAAAACGCAGTACTTATTTAAAGTGTACTTCTATACCATATCTTTAAGCAGTCCTTATCATGTGGAGTATTGCCCACAGACTGGAAGATTGCGAAAGTCATCCCTATTTTGAAAACCGGAGACAACCGTCGCCCTGAAAACTATCGTCCAATATCGATAACATTGGTGACATGTAATTGCCTCGTCAATTTACGCCCATGTGGCAATAGTCCCCCCTTTGAAAGCATCGACTCGATGCTCGTAAATAAAAAAAATGAAGGTATACACACGCAGATATAGAGAACCAAAAGAGGGAGAGTGCCACTACTCGCAGCGCAAATGAGGAAGTTTCGCCAACGCTTCCGCCAAGCGCAAAAAGAAAGGGCACAAAAACACACGAGAACACAAACAGCAGCGGCAACGCAATGTCACGGCATGTCGTAGCACGTGAAACCACAAGGGCTACTGTGTGAAGTAGGGCTTCAGCCGAAGGACATGCACGGTTTCGGGTCGAAGCTGTCGACGAGAAGACGCTGCGCCGTCCGGAAATACCTCGTAGGTAAGATCTGTGATTCGTCTAAGAACCTTGTACGGTCCAAAATAACGGCTTAGGAGTTTTTCGGATAAGCCTGGTCGCCGGACAGGGATCCACACCCACACTCGGTCCCCAGGGTGGTAGGTGACCTTTCGATGGCGGAGGTTGTAACGTCGTGCGTCTGCATCTTGTTGGTGGCTGGTGTTTATGCGAGCTAGCTGACGAGCTTCTTCGGCGTATTGAGTGTATTGCTCAGCATCTTGAGCAAGTTCATTGCTTTCGTCGCACGGAAGCATAGCATCGAGCATGGTTCGCACGTTGCGTCCGTAAACAAGTCGGAAAGGCGGAAATCGCGTTGTTTCTTGCGTTGCCGTATTATAAGCAAACGTGATGTATGGAAGAATCTCGTCCCAGGTTTTATGTTGTACGTCCACGTACATTGACAGCATGTCCGCTATGGTCTTGTTAAGCCTCTCTGTCAGTCCATTGGATTGCGGATGATAAGCCGTTGTTTTTCGATGACTTGTGCAGCTCAGTTTAAAAATGTCCTCCATCATTCGTGCTGTAAACGACGTCCCTCTGTCCGTAATCACGCATGACGGGGCACCATGCCGTAGGACGATTTGGTGCACGAAGAACTGCGCGACTTCAGAGGCCGTGCCACGGGATAACGCTTTTGTTTCAGCATAACGCGTGAGATAATCTGTCGCAACTATAATCCACTTGTTCCCAGAGGACGACAAAGGGAAGGGCCCGAGAAGGTCCATTCCCACGAGGTCAAACGGTGTCCGTGGTGGTGCGATCGGCTGGAGCAGGCCCGCGGGTCTCACAGGCGGAGTCTTGCGGCGCTGGCACTCACGGCAGCCTTTCACATATTGATGTACACTAGTTGATAGTCGCGGCCAGTAATACTGTTGGCGTACTCGGGCGAGAGTTCGCGAATAGCCCAAATGTCCTGACGTGGGCTCGTCGTGGCACGCCAGAAGGATTTCATCACGCATGTCGGTAGGAACAACGAGTAGGAAAGCCTTGTCGCTACCACGGGCGTTTTTTTTTTGTAAAGAATGCCTCTTCTTAGACAAAAAGAGGACAGTTCGCGAGCAATGTGTTGAGGGACCTTAGAGTTGCGGCCTTCCAGGGAATCAATGACTGGGCGTAATTCATCGTCTGCCCGCTGCTTTGACATAAATTCGGAGTCACTAACTGCTCCGAGAAAGGCATCTTCATCTTCGGAGCCCCTGACAGCGTTCCCCACAGGTGCTCGAGAAAGCGCGTCGGCGTCTTCGTGTTTGCGCCCTGACCTGTACACAATCGTAATGTCAAACTCCTGCAAACGCAAACTCCACCGTGCGAGACGGCCGGATGGATCTCTGAGATTTGCCAGCCAGCAGAGCGAGTGGTGGTCAGTCACCACTTTGAAGGGACGACCGTAGAGGTAAGGCCGAAATTTGGTCGTCGCCCACACGACTGCGAGGCATTCTTTTTCTGACGTAGAATAGTTGGTCTCAGCTCGAGAAAGAGTACGACTGGCGTAAGCTATCACATGCTCAACGCCGCCGTGTCGTTGTACAAGGACAGCGCCAAGTCCGACGTTGCTGGCATCTGTATGAATTTCTGTAGCAGCGTCCTCATCAAAATGGGCAAGAACAGGGGCTGTTTGCATTCTCTGTCGTAACTCTGTGAACGCTGTATCTTGTTCTACGCCCCAAGTAAAGGGTACGTCATCTCGGGTGAGTCGCGTAAGAGGTTCAGCTATCTTAGAGAAGTTGGCGATAAATCGGTGATAATACGCGCACAAGCCGAGGAAACGGCGTACTGCTCTTTTATCTGATGGGACAGGGAAGGCGTCGACAGCAGCAGTTTTGTCTGGATCAGGTCGCACTCCATCTGCACTAATGACATGTCCCAGAAATTTCAGCTCTTCATAGCCGAAATGGCATTTTTGGGGTTTCAGCGTAAGTTCAGCTGTGCGAATGGCTTCCAGAACCTTTCTCAGACGCTTCAGATGTTCTTCAAAGCTCTCGGAAAAGATGACCACATCATCGAGGTAGACAAGGCAGCTTTGCCACTTCAAGCCAGCGAGAACTGTGTCCATCATCCTCTGAAAAGTGGCTGGTGCAGAACAGAGGCCGAAGGGAAGAACTCGGAATTCGTAAAGTCCGTCTGGAGTCACAAACGCGGTTTTTTCTCGGTCTCGTTCATCCACTTCAATTTGCCAATAGCCACTCTTTAGATCGATGGACGAAAAATACTTCGCACGTCGTAACCTGTCGAGGGAGTCGTCTACTCGTGGAAGCGGGTAGACGTCCTTTTTTGTGACGCTATTAAGCTTCCTGTAGTCAATACAGAATCGCAGCGTTCCGTCTTTTTTCTTTACTAGAACGACTGGCGAGGACCAAGCGCTGCTGGATGGTTGAATAATCCCGTCATCGAGCATCTCTTTTACTTGTGTCTGAATAGCCTCGCGTTCTTTGGCAGAAACGCGATAAGGCTGCTGCCGGATGGGGCAGACGTCATCGTCGGTAATAATTCGATGCTTCGTGAGGTGAGTTTGACGGACTTTAGAAGAAGAGGCGAAGCAAGATCTAAACTCCCTTAAAAGGTCGTGAAGTGCAGCCTTTCTCTCGTCTGACAGCGTCGAATTGATGTCGATGTGGTCTAGAAATCCCTTATCCTCATGCGTTTCCTCGGAGGCGAAGCACTCCGTGACGTCGGCAACAGGTTCTCCATAGGCTAGGGTGGTTCCACGGAAAAGATGCCGGTGCTCGTAATTGAAGTTCGTAGCTAGTATTGTTGACTGTCCGTCACGGACGCGCACTACACTTCGGGCGGCGCATACACCTTGGAGCAGCAGAAGTGATAAGTTGCTTTCAGCCACCACGTCGCCGTCTTGGAAGTCTTCACAAGTGACTTCGATGGGAACAGTTGCTCGAGGTGGCAGCGTCACACTGTCGTCAGCAACACGCAGCGCAAGTCTACGGCAGTTATCGGCGTCTCGATCTGTTGCGCCTTGAGTCGAGAAGGTCACGATGCGCTCACGGAGATTTATGATGGCACCGTATTCCCGAAGGAAGTCCATGCCGATAATCAGCTGACGCGAACAGTCGGGGAGAACGAGGCAGCTGAGCACAAACGTTGACGCACGAATTTTCACTCTTGCGGTACAGCGACCCAGCGGTGTTACAACGTGTCCTCCAGCTGTTCGAATTCGCGTTCCATTCCACGGCGTGATCACTTTTCTGAGATCTTTCGCTAGCCTCCCGCTGATGATCGAATAGTCTGCACCAGTGTCTACCAATGCACTGACCTGAAGACCGTCAACCAGCACAGGTATGTCGAGCGACACGCGGTCACTAAGTTCAGATGCGGATGTCGGCGTTTCTTCGGCACTGCGATTATTCTCTGACGAAATGCCTTCGGCGTTGCGTGCAAGCATCGATGGGAGGTCTTCCGCACTTTGAGTCCCAGCGACCTTGCCCCCGAAGGCCGCTGCCTTCAGTTTTCCCGACGAGGGCTCGGGGAGCGTTCCCGTGCCGTCACCCCGAAACGTGGCCCAGTGGCTGCGGGTCTCCTCGGAGATGGTGACCGCGATTGCCGTCGTGTAAAGGGTGCACGCTGTTGCGCGAGATATTCTTCGATATCCCTTGGCCTTTGACCAATTCGGGGACGAGGGGAATTGACGGAAAATCCGCGCAGTCCAAGTTGCCGGTATGGGCATTCGCGGTA